AGTCACCCCTGTTGACTTTGTTCCACCGGACCGGTTGCAGCCCATGGGTGCAGTTGACGCCTCCCCGGCCTCCACCATTCATGAAGATTCCATATTTTCAGATGAGGAGCTTTCCACACCAAGTGTGGCGGATGATGTCGTTAGCGACCCTATGGACCTCGATTCCGATGTTTCACCAAAATCCAATTCTAGCCAAAGTAAGGGTTCGATAGCCGCTGCCCCGAGCACCGGCGCGGAGAGGGTTCCTCCACATCCCGATGACGACAAAACGCTGTTGGAGATTGCGGATGTTGAGCTGGACGGCACACCCGAAGCACTAAAAGCTGCTGCCTTCGAAGAGCCACATATATTAACCCACTATCCTAAGAACCCCTATTGTCCTGTATGTCAAATTTCCAAGTCTACCAGCAAGAGGGTGGCAAGGAAGCCCGACACCCGAGACGACGATATGCTTGATCCCCCAAAGGGACCATTCGAGCAACTGTCGACCGATGACGTCATCATGGCCAAAGGCCATGATTTTGTTGGCAAGGGGACGGGTGGGATCAAGGTTTTTCACATAGTGAGGGACACGTTTTTTGGAGCTAGGATAGCCTATCCCATGGTAAACAGGACAGCTAGCAATCACGCCAAGAACTTTAGACATTTCCTGGGGCTAAGAGCAAATGAACTAGCATCGTGTGTCCTTATCAAAATGGACGAAGCAGGCGAGCTGGAACAATCCGCACACGAAGTAGGCTTGCTCCCCGAAGTCTCACTCCCTAATAGGTGGCCGCGTAACGCCGCGCTAGAGCGAGACATTCGTGAGGAGAAAGAGTGTTGTCGTGCAATTCATATGCAATCCGGGTTGCCTTATGAGTTTCACACATACTCGTTTCCATATGCCTGCATGTCGATGTCGTTTGATCGTCCTTCGTTGTCAGACCCGGCCAAGACGCAATGGGAAGCCCTCACTAGGTCTAAGTTTGATGGCATTCGCAGATGCTTCGGTCAATTAGTGTATTACCGAGATCGCAAGGTAGGCAAAAGAACTCTCGATCCAAACATGTCGCCTGGTCTCTTCATGGGATGGCGCATCGAGTCGGGTTTTCGTTACCGTTATGTAGCCAGAATCATGGATTACATGGATTTTAAAGTTAATAAGCACCCCAATGTGTTAGATGTGCCTGAGGCAGAAATCTACACAGAGGAGGGACCACCCATTTTTCCCACGGCATCAACAAAGTTGCGGCATCTCCATGGTGGTTCATTAGGCATTTTGGACGACATTGCCAAACTAGACATGCCGGACTATCCCATGAGGGAGGTTCCTTTTGGGGAAGAAGGCGAAGGCGCTGCGCCGCCGACGCCCGCAGGGTCCAAGTCCCGAAGTGTGTACATAACACTAGATCGAGTAATCCGATTCAGCGAAACGCCTGGCTGCAAGGCCTGTGAGCGCAAGACTCGTCATCACACAGCTGAATGCCGAAAACGCTTTGCACGCCTTGTTGAAGAGGAAAAGGCCGATCTTTTGGCTAAGCGAAGGGAAGGGATCACTGTTGAGGAGATCCCTCCTGTAGCCCCGGAAGACCCGCCTCCTCCACCTCCGGCGGACCCTCCGCCGGAGCAGCCAGAGGAAGCCAGTGCTACACCGACAGTAATAGCCGGCCTTTCGATAACCCCGCACACCACATACAGAACCCAACTAGTCTACACTAGACCCCAAAGTGGTGTGCCCGTGTTTGGAATGCCAGCAAGGACCGAAGCCTCACAAGTAGGTCAAGTTAAGAAAAAGAGAAGTAGAGGTAGAAAGAGACCACCCAAGTTCAACCGCTGCATGTTCGAGTTTGCGTGTGCCCCCGATTCTCAAATGCACAAAACATTTTTAGAACTCGGGATCCCACATGTACCCCTAAGCAAGGAACACCTCGACCTGACCAACACCGACATGCAGGACCAGCTCCATAACCACTTGGAGACCTGCGAGGAGGTGCCAGACCTGTACCTCAGGTTCCCCATGGCAAAGGGTCAACAGGTCCAAAGGAGGTGCACGATTCGCCCGTGTCCATGCACAGCAGATTCGTGAATCCAAGCGACTCTTTGCTGAGTTCGAGAGAAGCGCAGGGATTGTCCTTAGCAGGGGGGGCACTGTAACCTTTGAATGGCCAAAGGGCTGCGAGAGTTGGAGCCGTCACGACGTCCAGACCTTCTTTGAGTCACATCCAGAATTCCAACAGGTGGAGTTTGATGGTTGTGCAGTAGGAGTTAAATCCACTAAGGATAGACCTATTAAGAAGACATGGAGGCTCATGACCACAAGCCAACGCATCGTAGATGCATTTTCGCAGCATAAGTGCACGCATTCCCCACACGAACATGATCACGCAGTTGGGTCTCAGACTGCAAAGACCGCCTTTTACCCTCCACAAATGGTATGTGAAATAGCCAGAGCTTTATACCCACAGAAGGTTAATCTAGCTCCAGCACCAGCCATGCCATGCGTAGTCCCAGCCGCTGCCTCTCAGGCGCGGGATGAGGAGCACAGGGTAAAAGAGCAATCCTTAAAACACATCTCCGCACTTGCGGGAGCCGATGCATTTGCATTAGCCGTCGAAACCGATGAAGTTGCAAGCCAGATGGCGGAAAGCCTGGTCGAGCTAGAAACTCTCGTTCGAACTGCATTTGATATTCCTGAAGACCCTAAACATAACGGTAGAGTTCATGCCATGGTAACTAAGTTACTCTCTAGAGCAGAAATGCTGGCGAACCCCAAAGCCGTTGAAAAAGTTAAGGAGGAAGCGACATCCCTTACCGACATCGGTACATGGGATCTTGATTCCGTTCAAGAGTACGATGCAGTTAAGGCTGAAGCAAAGGCTAGCAAAGTGTCCGTACACTTTGGCCGCTTAATGACTATCGCCTCAATTAAGTTTTGGGAATTAGCTGAACACCTTCACAAAATGGAGGGGCGAATAGTACATCGCGGCGATTGTGCACGCGACGAGAACGGCGTCGCTGCCGTCTACGAGGAGTTGGGTGCAAACCCAACATCCGTACAGGGCTTGAACGCCTGCCTAGCCTACGGCTCCCTGCCGGGACACGCATGCACGGCGGCAGACGCCGTGAAAGCGTACGTCCAAGCCTTTCTCAAGAGTAAGTATAAAACGTGGATCGAGCTTCCACCAGAACTCCGTCCGGAGTGGTGGAAGGGAAAATTCACCGGCCCAGTTGTACTTCTTGTGAGAGCGCTGTATGGACACCCCGATGCAGGCGGAATGTGGGAAAACCACCTGAAGGGGATTTTGAAGAAGATGAACGGTGAGGAGATTCCTGAGTACCCCGGAAATTTTTATTTCAAGGGAACGAGCCTCATGCTATCTACGTATGTAGACGACTTGACATTATCCGGACCATCCGAGCACCACGCTCCGTTCTGGAAGCAATTAATGTCAGAAGTCAACGTAGAGCCTCCCGAAACCATCTACAGAATCCTCGGAAGAAACCATGTTTACGCCAGCTTTGATAAAGCTCAGGGTGAAGAAAATGCGGCGTTGGGCGCGGCGCCAGATGCATTGATTTTCGACATGAAGGACTATGCCCAACAAACCATAGACCTTTACAAAAGTGTAGCAAAAGTTGATAAAATCAAGCCCGCGCAAACCCCCTTCATCCCTGACGGGGCATGGCCAAAGGAAGACGAGGACTCGCCAGGAGAACTCGCTCCTAAAGCATGTTCAATACTAATGAAGGCCCTTTGGTTGGCCCGCCTGTCTAGACCGGATATCCTTAAGCCCATTAAGGACTTAGCAACTAAGGTCCAAGCCTGGACCCGAGTGCACGATAAGAAGTTATTAAGGCTAATCCAATACCTCCAATACTCGTTAGACTACAGACTGACCGCCTCGTGCCAAGACGATCCGAAGGATCTCAGGCTTGAGCTGTACGTCGATGCGGATTTCGGAGGCGATTCCGGTGACGTGAAGTCGACCTCAGGCGGCTTCCTAACACTAAAAGGTCCCAACACATTTTTCCCACTTGCGTGGATCTCGAAGAGACAGACATCCACTTCACGCTCCACCACGGAGTCAGAAGTGGTAAGTTTGGCACACTCTTTGTACCAGGAGGGCATACCTGCCCTCCAGCTCTGGGAGAAGCTCTTGCAGAGGCCGGTGGACCTAGTTATCCACGAGGACAACCAAGCCACCATTATAGTCGTTCGTAAGGGGTATTCCCCCAAACTTCGACATATCGGCCGCACGCACAAGATTAACCTCTCGTCCCTAAAAGAGTGTCTCGATGACCCATGCATCAATGTGCAATACATCGACACCAATGAACAGGCCGCTGACATCTTTACTAAAGCACTACCACCACAAAAGTGGTACAAGGCTTTATGTCTCCTAGGCATACGTACTGACATACGCGAGCCGAAGCCATCCCTCAGGGATCGAAGCTTTTCGATAGGAGCCGATGTAGTTGCCAAAACCGCTGCTCAATGCGCGGTAATTAATGCATGTACAGCAACGCATGACACGCCAAAACGGCGAGGGGGGAGTCAAGAAAACACGGACAAACGTGACCCCTAACTTGTCATGTCATGTGTTACTTGTACAGGCAAACACCCGTGTCACTCCGACACATTATGGCTCAAGAAACGAGCGCGCTGCCGCTCGCTTCAGCGTCCGTCACGCCGATCGCTCGATCGTCGCGCCGCCACGCATTCGTGCATTTCGTGCAAGTCGTGTTGTGTGTTCTTAGGCTGCCGTAGGTGCTCCTTCGTCCACACCCCACAACTGTACACTACGGGTACCAAGTGTTCTAACACCCCCCCGCCGTGTACCGACCCGACAAAGGGTCATCCACTCCATTGCATATCTTGCGGTAACCCTCCCCATCAATAGATTGTGGTGGTTATTCCTTGATATTCCGGAGTCCTTATCCATTTCATTGTCTCGAGTGCTCGTACACCTAGGTCCAGGTCAGGTCCAGAAACGACGACCCCGTCTGTCGACCGAGTCGCTAGGCCCACGCCCTTTCGGTCGTTGCAAGAGATGGACTTCTGTATGCCAAAGCTCATCACCGATGCGGCGGAGACCACAATCAATGCCTTGATCTATGCCACGGAGCACACCCCGGACGTCTTCCATGAGGTGCCTTTGTTTTTCAAGCAATTCCCGCCAGAGATACATATTGTCCTGTGCCGGAGGGACATGTTTCCTGATACTTTCTCTTTCTCTATCTTTCTCTTATGTCATGTACAAGTGTCCAAGCAAAACAAAGTGTGTGAACCTCAGAGCAGCAATCGCTCATGACCACGAGGTTCTGACGGTGTTAGACAAGCTTGCAGACTATGCCAAAGAGCTTTTGTCCAAGAACTTGCTCCTCTTCCAGCGTGGCAATGCGACTTTTCGGGAAGAGGATGGGCTGGTGGGATTTGTCGGGGGTCGGTGAGTCTCACGGACGGCCGCAACGACTTGGGTCGGTTCACCCCCCGCGACCATCACTTCCGAGCATCGATGTGCTTGAAGCGGCTTGAACGACATTGACTTTCGGAAATTAATTCTGCACTTGGAAGCCTTAAGGTAAGCTTGCTCGAGATGAAGAAGGTGTCTGCGAAAAAGGGCATGCGAGGATTGGAGGAGAAAAGTTCCAGAGGGTAGCTGGCTGTGTCGATTTCAGAGATCAAGGATCAAGGTTAGTTAGGCTTGCCTGATGGAGTGATTGTGATGAGTACTATCGGATGGAGCTTTGAAAGAGCTTGAAAGTGCCAGCGATGCAACTTCCAGAATATAACGAACAAAGGATCTCTTGGCGTCGTGCCCAACCACAAAGGCAATTGCTTCTTGCAAATGCGAGTTTGGAACACTACCCAATATCCCATGATGCACAGCCTCATAAGTTTCCGAGTTTTCTGAGTCTTGAGTTTCGTTTGAACATCTATAGGCCAGGCTTATGGTCTCCTTTCTCGATCTCACAAACTCACAATGGCTTTTTGTGCTCAACGCAATGAAGAATACCTATTTGCGCAAGGAAGCCTTCAATGTCAAAGATACGTGTGTGCATTGAGACCCGTCACAATTTCAATCCCTGATCCCTCTTTCATCACGAGTCACGAGTCATCGTTCTGTCAACAACTTTGCCATGGAGGCCACGAGAGCAAACGAGGTTTCGGTCGGTCGCTACCGGCGAAGAGAGCAACGTCTGTCTCAACCCACCAAGTGCATCTTCACCTCGTCTCTAGTATTAATTATTGTTTCTAGTCGCTTCTTGTTAATACTAGTAAGGCACCTGTTACTACTAGCGTGGCACTTGTTACTACTAGCTTCTCTCTTCATTTCTGAATTCCGAAGCGAAAACGAAGCCGCTGTCTAGCTGTTTTCACCCTATCAGACCCGGGTGAGGGTCCCGTGACTGAGCGACCGCCCAAAACACGGAGATCCGAAGCAAACATGACTTGGGTTTCGATCAAAAGGAACCATGACACCAAATTCTTTGCATGGCAAGTACCATGAGATTCACTTAAAGACAATGATGCTGATGTCCTTGAGTTCTGCATGCGCGCCTTGATGACATGCACCTTGACCTCACTTGCCTTGGGTTGGTGCACCAGACATGAGTCGTGTGAGGAGTCCTTTATGTGCAGCAACAAAAGCGCTTTAGATGCTTGGGCAAGAAAGTGGCGGGGTCATGATTGTCACCCAAGGGCAAGCCATAACCTTTTGCTGTTGATAGGTGAGAATAAGCCAAACCTAGCTTGACAGAGGTCGATGAGGTAAGTTGATGCAGGCTTTGTGTTGCCTGGGGGTGAGTGTTTGACTTGCAAAAGAATGCTGATGCGATGGCATTAAAAAATAAACACAGCTACAGAATCGATGGCCGCATGCGTTTTGGTTCACAGCTTCTCAGTTTCACATGTTGAAATAACTTCTGGCCGTTCTTCTTGTTGGAAAGTGTTTACATCATTTTTCACCTATACATCAAGCTGTTTTCGGCTGTCCTTTGGCTTGCTTGGCCTATTTGTTAGAACGTTTTCCCCACTCCGTCATTTGGGATCCTCCGAACTCCCGGACCATTTCCGAGGGCAGGAACTATGCCCTGATGCTGCGGCTACAGGGAAAGTGGGGCCTCCAGCGACTTGGCATCCAGAGATGCTTTCTTCCAGACTTGGAGGAAACCTGGACCCCCCCCCTCTTTTTCGCCTCAAGAACACATGCTATTCGGAACCACGCTCAAGCAGTCAAGCTCATGCCAACCATCGAACAGGAGTCAACCAATTTTTGGTGTCTGAAGACGCAAAGCAGGTGCGGCGCACGAGGGGATTTTCATGTTCCTGATCTTGAAGGCTCCCTTTCCCACATCAAGATCCATCAATCAGCCTTTTCGGTCTCCCCTGGAATTGGTGGAAGGAGTGGGAAAGTGATGAGTCCGATTTCACGTCCAACGACCGATCGCTCCCCGTCACTGGAACTGGATTGCGACCATCGGACACAGCACCAACAAGGTCGGCTGACTGGGCTTTCCAGTCGAAACGTCGCCCAGCCAAAGGGGAAACGACCGGGCGTTCAGTCCAAGCCCAACGATTGGCCTTTTCTTCCAAGCCGTGCGCTTTGTTCGCTCATTTGCACTGGAGGACCGGCGGCATCGGTGCGAAAATGGCCATCAAGAAGGCGGGAGAAATTCTCCAACTGCTCTCCACATTTGTGACCTTTTTATGTTCTTTCTACTAGCTTCTTGTTACTACTAGTAAGGCACTTGTTACTAGAAGCGATGCACTTGTTACTAGAAGCTTCTTGTTCTTGTAAAGGAACAGATTTCTGAAAGGGGAGCCCACGTTTCCCGTGTTTTTGGAGTCGAAAGCCGTTGGTGCGGGCATCTACTTCGGCTGCCAGAAGTTGAAGTTCAAGGCTGGGACACTCGGTCAGTGCTGCTTCGCACCGCTCTACACTGCTGGGGCCGAAACAGACTGGACCCGCTGGTAGAGTGGTTTCGACCACTCTATATTGGTGATGGGAACATAAGTTGAAGGTGCGTGGATGAAGACTTCACAGGGCAACAGAGAGAAGATGTAAAACGACGTACCATATCTACATATATCTACATTAGGGCCATTCGGAGTTTGAGTATCTCCTGTTGCTTGCCCCTAAGAACATTTGCTCAAGTATCAGGACCTGGACAGGATGGGGGCGGGCCCATTCCGCTGGTGTTTTTCCTTCTTCACCAGCTTAGGGAATTCAGCAGGGTTCCCGACAGCACCAAACGGATCCCACAGCTTCGCCGTTTGACCAGAAACACGAAGGACTGCGCACCTGGCACCGCAAAAGGTAGGGAATACATGTTGTCCTTGGATCATCCGAGGGGCTTTCGGATCATCCCAGGGCCCATGACGTTCATTTGAAAGCGAGTGTACCACTCTACGACACTAGCCACAACTGGCCAGTGTCGTGAAAGTGCCGCTGTCTCTGAGGTTACGCCGTTCTGGAGCATGCGCTGGTTGTCCAAGGGTATTGCCTTTCCCTTCAAGGAAAAGGACACCGACGAAGACAAGTTCGGAGCTGACATTCAGTCTTCCGGCGGAGCATATCTGAGAAAAACTGAACAATTTCGAGATGAAGGAACGTGAGAGGAGATTTCTCCTGGTCGACCAATCGTCGACCAAGACAAAAGCGAAGAGTGGCAAGAATCGGCCGAAGGTGGGGGTTTTGCGGAGGGGGTTTGTCTAGGTTCTGTGTTCAGGTTCAAGTTGTTCTTGTGAAGCTGCAACCTTGTGGAACTTGTGGGCGCTCTGAGGTTTAAGTGGTACCATTCGGAGTTCCCATGCTTCCCGCCCGTGCGGTTCAAGACGGAGGTCTGGACATGTCATCCAGGATCCATTTCACTGGGTTGCTCTCTGCAAGCGTGTGCAGGTATCGGGAGATTCGTTAAGACTAATCCTTTCCTTGCTCGGGTGTGAAGAATGAGGCTTAAATGATTTAGCCGTTGAAGATTAGCATCCTTGACATGTTTGGTCAATCCGAATGACACTTGAATGGCATTCTTGTTTACAGTTTCAGTCACATGGGGCAGATGGTTGGCACCTGGGTCGAGTCTGACTTCATTTGCGCAGGCAGCATTCCGAGTGGCGGGAGGGGCCAAATCTGAATCGGGCTACAAAGTCACTCTGCGCACCTCGTGGTCCTTCTTTTCGCCTGACATCACGCTACTCGCCGGAAAGGCTCGTTGGTTGAAGGGGTTCTTAACAATACAGAGAAGAAGATGCTTCACAAGCTCCACACCCCAAAGATCCTTTCACCAGATGGAAGATCCATGCGACGATATGTCGAAACAAAAAGCGATCCGTTGAAAGTAAAGCAACGTGGCCAGCGCGCCTCACGACAGGTGTTAGGATAGGCAACACTTGGCGGGAGGAGATGTTGGTTGCAGCCGAAGGCGTTACACATCAAAAGCTTCGTGTGGAATGGGGTCAAGAAATACACAGAGCGCAGATCACATACATTAGCTCTGAAAAGCGTGTTTGTTTGAGATATTCACGAACTAATTGTCACTCTCAAGGGTGATCCTTTGACCTTGTCCTAAGGTCCTTTGAGCAGAAAGACACCTGGCCGCGTCGACGCGTTGGTCTCCCGGGTGATATGGGTGATACAAATTCGAGGATGAAATGAGTTGCCTGTGGGGGTTCCTTCCAGCTAAGGCGTCAGGCACTAACCATATGCATCCCCCGATGATAAACTACATGAAGGCTCGGTTAACGGCTCGGTTAACCTGTGTACTGCCATTTTTCAGTCATGGAAGTTGCCATTCTTTTCAAAACCTGCGCTCATCGTTGGTGTTCAATGACAGACGTCATCTCCAATGGCTTCCCCGCTACAGACTACAGGGCCGGTTGAATTCAAGCTTGGTGCCCAGTGAGGTGGTGATAGCTCGCCACTTTGCAAGGATGTTCTCAATTCTTTCTTAAGATGTGTCCGCCCATTTCTATTCATTTGTCTCCCGGGTGATTTCTTTACTTTCCCAAACAGGTTACTGTTAGGGGTCCTCAATGCTTTCTAGGTCACTGTGTCCGCCTTGTCTCCCTTCTGTTTCCTTTTGTCTCCCTTCTTGTTGCGCGGTGCCAACTGCCTTGCAATCCTTTCCATTTGTCTGCCAGCTCTGGACTGCTGTGTTGCAGTCCTTTACATGTCTCCCAGCTCCGGACTGCTGTGTCCGCCACTTGCTTGCAACCCTTCACATTTGTCTCCCAGCTCTGGTCTGCTCTGCCCTGCAATCCTTTACATTTAACTCCCAGCTCTGGACTGCTGTGTCCGCCTCTCCCTTGCAATCCTTTGTCTCCCAGCTCTGGACGTCGCAGGCTGTAGTTGCAGAGTGTGCCGAGTTTGAAAAACACAAGCTGTTTGGGGTCTACGGTCTACGGTGGTGTAATTTTTAGCCAAACAGTGTGGTCACACTAGGGGTTCTTACGGTAGGTGTTAAGGCTGGGATTGATCGAGGCTCACGGGCGGTGGCTAATTCGCTGCTATTTACGTGCGTCTCGAGATCTTCGAAGTGCACTTCGACTGGGCAGGCTCGCGCAAACTGCCTCCTCGGAGCGGGTGCTTTATTTGACGGCGTTCTCGCTGTGGTGCCGCGGGCTTGGTGTGGCAGGCGCAAGGAATCCTCTTGTTTTGGTGGTCTGAAGTCGACTTTTCGTTGTGCAGGTGCAGGAGATCGTAGCCGCTTTACTTCGATGTGCAGATTTCGTGGCAGGTGCTGCGCTTTGGACTTGGCAATCTCTGATTCTGTGGCACGTGCAGTGAATCGTGAACCTTGGACATGTGGTTTGTTTTTTCATTTGCAGGCATACATGTCACTTCCTCTGAGAGGTGCGCTTCAGATCGCAAAACACGGCCCCTGCCACGAAATCTGCACTTCGAGGCTTACAACATGCCCCACCTGGCACGAAGTCCGCCCATCAGGATTCCTCAGCCCTGCTAGTGCTTTTCGCAAGAAAAGCACGAGATGCCAAAGACACAATACTTCTCCTCAATTCTGAGGTTGCTGAAACTTCCCTGGCCCTGCAAGATCTTTTTCATCACCAACTTGGCGGAAATACATGGAATCACCATGTTAGACACAGTGGCACACAGCTTCATGTCATACTGAGACGCCATGCCACTTGAAGGACTGGGTGCCGAAGAAACCAGACTGGCCCAGTGGCGTGGGCATCACCGCTGCCATGAAAGTATCCGTCGGAGAACTTCTCCAGGCGAACGTCAGCATCAATCAAAGCCTTGAGGACAGAGCTCTGCTGGTGCATTTTGCTCGCCTCTTTTGCAGGATTGTTCTTCCAACCAAGTCAATTATATAGTTCCCAGGAGGACGAGCGAACTGAATTAACAAGAGATTCACGAAGATAGAAGTGTTGTAGTGGATTGATTTGTGGAAACCCACAGAGGTTATGACGGTTATGACCTGCAACAGGCAAAGGTAAAGCAGCACGGAGACTGCGACAGGGTCTGAGTCAGTTGGTGTGGTGCTTCTGGGGCCTGGGCTTAGATTTGGGCCACATTGCAGCCACGCACTTGTCAATTAATTTCCCAGGCAGAATGGCCACAGGAATTTCACCGGGAACCCGATTTTGGACTCGTTGCCGCTGGCCGTGCAGCGCGCTGGTCGTGCGGCGTCGTCGGGTGTCGATGCCGCATCGATGCCAGGAGGCTGGGTTGAATGGCCGACAGTTGTTCCAGCGAGTTTTAGACACCAAGGCTCAGGCTGGGAGTGCCAAGGTCAGAAAGGTAATTCGCTTCACGAATCAAATTGAGGTTATGAGTTTCACTCATCTCATTCACTCATCTTAGTTTGCGTGTCCAGGCCAAAGAAATGGCAGACATCGTCCCCGCTGGAAGTTTTGACGCACGTGTCAAGCACGTCTTTTGCACCTTGACCAGTGATTTCATCAAGCTTTTGGGCACGGATTTGGTCGATCGGGCTCTTAACAAAGATGAAAACATCAACAAGTTGGAACAAAAGCATCAGACAGATTAAACTATTCAGAGCCTGGCAATCCCCGGAACAACTTGATCAGCAACCATTTCCAGCATCGGGCCACTTAGGCTTAGCCAATTGCCACTGCCAGGATGAGTGAGGCACAACGCAGCCGCCGTAACGTTCATCGTGGCGGTGTACAAAGTTATCAATTGCTTGAAGAATTAAGTTTTATGCTCGCAGACAGCTCTGGACGCAATGAGATGCTTTTTAGGGGGTCCAGGAGTTATGTCAGATGTATGTAATGGCAACATACAGGAACTTTTCAACCCAGAGCGCTGAGCGCCCAATTCCCTCCTTTCTGTTTTAAGTGAACAGTCTAAGTACAGGCTGGAATCATGCATCGCCATTTTCAAAACGCACAAACCACAGAAGCACCAGGGCGATTTTGGAAAACCCTTTAGTGGCTTTCTTTGCCATTCAAACAATGACGACGTCGTGGTGACGACTGGGAGACGCTCGCTTCGCGCTGGGAACCGCGCGCGGCGACCGAGATTCGCTTATTGACGGTGGTCCCGCGACGGGGGTCGCAGGATGGATTCATTGAGGAGCTCGTTGAACCCAACATGCCACAAGTTTGGAACTCCCTTCTGGACCGTGTTCCCCTTGTTGGGTCCATGTTGAGGTCAACTTCAAGTTGTGTCCCAAACGGGGCCCTGGTCGTTCTGGGCAAGTAGTGGGCCCTGGTCCGGCCTGATTTCCAGGCAGATAGAAAACCCAAGTGCCAAGTGTACATTTCCAAACAATGTCAGGGGAAGTTGCGAGCTTTGTTGACCTTGGCGCGTTCAGACAGAAGATGCGAGTCGAGCCACGCCGGGAGTCTTACAACCAGTTTGGCGGGCAGACCTTTAATACTCATGGTCTCTGGTTGCAAGTGTCATCTGGGCTGCGCCCCTTCATTGGGTGACCAATGACCAAGCGAATGGACCTGGAAATACCTGGGAACGAGTTGAATGGTGAGAACCTAGACTGTCAAGACAACGCCTCTCCCAAGTCAAATCCCTTTTGCTAACCTGTGATGACTGATGCTAACCTTTTGCAATCACCATGGATCAAAACTCTCACGAGCTTGAGTTGAAGAAACCCTTCAATTACAGCTGCTTATATCGTTCATTTTTCCTGGGTTAATTCGAAGCTGGGTGCCGGGTGCCTTTGTCACTCAGAACACCTTGCTTTGCTGGGAGGGAACATCTCTGCATTTTTGTTTGTGGCGTGCCCAAAGACTGCGTGGAGCACAGCCTTTAATCGTCATTTTTGTAATCCGTGTGCCGCGACAACGCTGGCATTCTTACATACTTTTGCGGTGTTTCGACAGTAACGCGAAAGACTGCATGAGGACACAATGAATCTTTTCTTCTTCCAATCATTATTGTCACTGTGTGTCAGACAACTCGTTAGAGGCATGTGAATGGAAGAGGAACGTGAGGGTTAAATTATTAAATAACCGTTCTGCTCTTGCTGGACAGGAAAATCGTGTCTCTTGATGTGGCTCTCTGCATTGCACGAAAGACACCACCAGAAGGCCCATTTTGCTAAGCAGATGCTCCAGCTCTTTTTCGTAAACTTACCGTGCTCCAGCTCTTCTCACAAATCGCCCATCACTTGCACTCATCTCAGTCAAGGAAGGCAAGCCTCCTGGCCTGCTCCCCAATCGCCTCCTGGCCCCGACTCTCACAGGTTTCGCTTCTTTCACACGGAAGTGATTGGGTGCAACCCCCTTGATGCGGGTATTGATGATATACTCGGAGCGCCGGCCACGGTTGAATGAACCAGGTGAACATTGCAGCCACAGCAGGCTCGCAGGCATCGCAGGCATTGCAGCTAGCTGCCATTTAGGATCAAACCAAAGCCTTCGTGAGTCCATTGCCCATGGAACTAGTAGCTTCTTGTTCCTCGTAGTAAGGCCAGGAGCTACGTTCGTAGCGTCCGATCGCTCCTAGACAATCCAAGGTCTTGCCCTTCCCAAACAGGTTGACCACAGAAAGGACAGCAGGTGTGAGACAGATGTCGGATGGTTCCTCGTTGGGGTAGTTCCCCTGCAATGCCTTTTGGTTTCTCGTACTTGTGTAGGTTCAGCAGGTCATCCAAGAGTCTTGATACACACACCCAACGTAGTTGGGTAGGTGTAGCTTACTGGATTCTACATGATGCTACCAAGATAGTACAGGGCCAGCGGCTATATCATTCTTAACATATCCAACTGATTTGTGCAGAGTTCGCTGAGCCATGTGGTAGCGACTGACGGCGGACCTGTGCCCTGCTTCTTGGTCGCATTCACCTACTGTAGCTAGTGCAGGCACTCCACATGCAGATTCCGCAGCACTTGTGTCAACCTTACGTCATGTGTTTTTTCCAGGTCTCAGCTGTTCATGCATGTTTCAAGGTCTCAGCGATAAACTGAGGTAAGGGAGCAATGACCAAAGATCCGCACTTGGCGTTGAAAGACCCGCTTCTCTCCTTCCGATCGCCCCCCTTGAGCCGCACCAGTTCTGGAGCAGCTTGGGCGCGCAGTTGGTGGGAGAACGTGGGGGATCTACCTCCCAAAAGAGCCTTCTCCAGGTGGTACAACCATCCTGGCCAGTCCCGGTCAAAAGCAGCAATTGGCCACTTGAGAACACATTTGGTAAGAAGATGTAAGAAGACCAGAATGTGTTCCAAGGTTACCTATTGACGGTAAGGTAGGTCTGGTATAGGTGAGTTACTCTTGGACTGCTGTTCAGCTGTGTCTTGGTAACTAATGATCATGATACACCACACGTATGCCATTTTGGCTAGAGTGGTGATCACCCTGGCTGTTTTTGAGGGCGCGTGAGCCCTTGGTGGGTTCTGTTGACTAGGGCCTGGGTGATCACTAAGGTTTAACTAGGCTAGCTCCTACCGCAGCCATGTCGGACATGCATATGGCTCCCTTTTTGCGCCAGCAAGCGATCGCGGTGAACCGTGTCGTTCGGCCAGAGGACTCAGTCAGCAATGTGAGCTTTTCTAGTTGGACTCGTGTGGCTGATCATGTTGAGATAGATGACTTGGAGTTGCCTCCACCTGATCTAGAGCTGCCCCATGTCGTAGATCTTGACAACAAGGTGAAAGTTGGTCAGCCGGATCCGGGTCAGAATCGGAGCACTCCAACAGTGGCTCAAGCTCAGCCAGCCACACCGCGACAAGGACAGGATCCTGTCCCAAATTCTGCACCAGCCTCAAGCTCAGGAACGATGGCAGATCAGCAGACAGCTGCGCCAGCCGTGGCTCCCCAACCGCCAGTGTCGAAGGCAGCTCCGGCAACACAAGCTGCTCAGAACTTGCTTGCTGGAACCAACCCTCAATATGGATCCAGAAAGCTGCAGAAGCAAGCCGCTCGGGCCGCCAGGAAAGGAGCTCGTGGTCTTCGATTTGGCCAGCTGGGTGGGCTCCACATCGCGCTCAGCAATGTGCTCCCTCCCTACCTCAGCCAAGTCGGATCGGGCGGTGGCGAGAGGTCGGTGCTGGTGGTTGACACAAGGGACCAAAGGATCTCTAGTCCCTTCCAGGGTTGGCTCCTAGACGAGATATTGATCAATGCACAGGCAGGAGTCAACGTGCTCTCGGACGCTCGTCAAGTGCGCAGTCCAAGCACAACCTACCACATGAACCTGTTCTACATGAGGACCCTGGAAGGCAAGAAGTTGATCATCGTGGGATCCATGACATCTTACGGATCCGTGCCATGTGGCAGGTGGGACTCCCAGACTGGGGAGGTTTTGGCTCACCAGGCTTTTCAGCCTTTCCGGTGGCCCATCATGAGGGACGATTCAGCGACCTGGGTCGACCTGAAAGTGAAGATCGAAGGTGCGCTCCTCCTTCACCTCGAGCTGCGGGGGTACCGGTCTGATCAGGATATGACGGTACAATTGAACTACATCAACGACGCGATCGTCATGGCGCTCGAAGAGGTGTTGTTCATTCCCTCGTGCACGGTGGTGATCTTCCAAGGGTGGAGAGTTTGCGCCGTCTCGTTCGAGGTCGGTGGTCAGCTGTATGCTTGTGGCGAGGGGGGGGCAGTTCTTGCCTTAGACTTTCCTCTTTGCCACTTTGAAATTCGGCTGACGGCGGTCTCGTCGGCTGACTCGCTGGGCCTGGACGCAGATCGTTTAGAGTTCAGGTTCACCTCAGCTCAGGACAGACTCAATGTGGCATGTGGCACGCTCGCTGTCCCAGCGACTTGGCTGGTGGTGTCCCGAGTGTCGGGGCCTACGCTCGTGAAGAACGCCCGGTGGTGTCGAGATCACTATGCACGAGTTGAAGGACCTGATCAAGTGATGCAATTGTCCCAGATTGCGGGGATCCATGCACACTGGACGGCTGGGGTAACAGCTGACTCGATCGAGGACACCGGGCCGAGGATCGGCGCTGTAGATGTGAGCTCTCATGCCGACAATCTACACCTGACGTGCGAGTCCCCCCTGTTCAAGGCCGAGAAGAAGATTGTGGCGAGGGAGGCGATCGCCCTCCAATACCATGACCCGGCCACCGAGAGGGCGGCAATGATCCTGCCTCCAGCTGCCGGAACTCCTGGGGTCGCGGTCGCGCAGTCCAAGTGGGAGCCGGTGCGAGATCTCGCTGGGCCGAGGGATTCTTCGGCAGTGATCGTGGGCTCCTCCATGAAGGGCGGCATGTCGCTGACTTCTCCGGGCCAGGCAGCTAGCTCGATGGATCCGAACGCACAGCTGCTCTTTGCGCCAAGGCGCTCGCTCGAGCAGAGGAGGGGTGAGCAGCTCGCTGATGCAGCTGTGACACCACAGTTCTTTGTTGAGCAGACTCGTGCCGTGATGAGCGCGCTACCGAGTCAAAGCGCTCCTCGTGTTCAGCGCTGTGACGATCACTCCAGCCACGGCTGAGCCAGGAGTGCCTACGTCCTTTGGACCGGCCGCCGAGGAAGTGATCACAGATGTTTGATTCCCGTGATCACGTTTGCTTTTTATGATCTAATTGCCCAGGAGGGCGCTTGCGTCGTTCGATTTGGCACAGAGACGGTCGATCGGCGCCACGAGAGGTCGGAAGAAATGAGCTCTTGGTTTGTCAGGGTTTTGGGATCAATTGCCTTGACTCATTTTTCGTTTCCGCTCTGAGCAGAGTCGTTCGATCGCGTGTGCATGAGCTGAGGGCTGACTTGATCAAGGGCCCCTAACTCACGAACATGCGCATCGTGTTGTGGCCCAGGCTCATGCCAAACCTGTTCAGTCGCGGGAGCTCGGAGTGCTGTGTCTGAGTCTGCAACGGGCCCTGCTCTAGCGGTTCAAGCTCGATGCATGGGTCCCACCTGGCTCTAACCAGCGCTCTAGAGTGGTAACAGTGTTGAGTCATTTCCCTTTTTGAGTTCGATTGACTGAAACGTGTCAGCATGTTCACGCTCGTGTTTGCTGTATGTTTGAGTCGGTCGTTGCACTCTTCGTAGTTCAACTTAAAAGGGTTGTTCAACACGTGTTCACTCTGTGGCCTTCTGTTCACATCCTGGTGCAGACCACTCGTGTCGATCGATGGCGGCAACTTGAGGTTTGGACGGGGTGAACTATTGGTCACGGCTCCCAAGACCTGCGCGTGAGCTCGAGCGCTGGTGGGTTCAGAGGCACCTAGCTTCTGAGTCTGGGCTCGGTTCATGCCGGTCGGGGGGGGGGAGTGATAATATAGAGATCGCTCGAGTGATGGAAGATTTCGAGTCTGTTTGTTCAATTTAGATGGCTCAAACAACTGATAGATGGGTCTCGAAAGTCCTCGCTCTTCCCATTTTCTCAGCTCGCTTTTCGGATGCGCTCGTGAAGTCGCCGCTCGCGAATTTGGCACTGGTTGCACCCATAGAAGTTCAATCTGGGGCTGAGTTTGTCCAGAAAATCTCAGAATGGGCTTCGGCAATGGACAGCTCGGTCGCTGAAGCTCTGTTGGCTGAACCAGCGATGCTTGATCAGTTTTGGGGTGTGGCTAGAGCGATCGAGAAGATGTTCTTTGAGTCGACCACAACCCAGCTCGGGTTTGGGTTGTGCGAGCGAGCTCAAGCTCATAGAGCTCTCTCGGACGCAGACGTGCTGAGGAAACGGGCAGCGATCCAAGCACTTGTTCAGAAACCGATGAAGGTGCCCAGAAAACTGAAGACGGATCCGTCGGTCGCTTCGGGTTCGACACCCCTCTTGGACATGGAACAGGCCGAGAGGCATAGGTGGGCAGCTCGCTTAGAGGCGATCGGTCGCAGAGCTGGGAATTGGGCGAAACTGTTCGAGCCAAAGTCGGACGACCAGGAGTTGACACCGACTGAAACAGCGAAACTCAGGCAGCTCGTTCTGACTTCGGGAGCACATCGGACCATGTCGGCTCACGTTCGCATGTGGGAACGCTGGGAGCTTTGGGCCGCATCGGTAGGGTTGTCCCTCTACCCCCTTTCGCTCGACAAGGTGCTCAAGTACTGCCTTTGGCTAGACCAACATGAGTGTGGGCCCACGGTCATTCCTTCGGTTCGCTCCTCGATCAGGTGGGTCAGCTCGCGGCTCGCAATTGAGTGTCCTGATCTGGACGATGCGCAGCTCGTGGCACTCCAGAAGGAGGTAGTGCTGGATCGAGCCACCACGCTCAAAGAAGCGGTTCCGATGCATGGAACTTTATGTTGCAGCTAACGACGTTCCGGATGCCGCTCGGTTGTTTGTTTGGTGGTGGTTGTGTTTGATCTACGCCTCCCTTCGTTTCGACGATGGAATCCATGTTTCCCCCAAAGAGCTTTCGTTTACGGATGATGGGTTGTTTGGGGTGAGTTGGCAGACCAAGGTCGAACGTAAGCGTAGGGGGGACGAAATTCGTTGTGCCGATCGTCAGCTTATCGGGGGTGGAGTGGCTCGCGATCGGGTGGGACCTTTTTGATGCTCCCTCGCTCGATCGAGACTTTTGGATGCCAGACCTGAACTCTCGTGAAGAGTTTCGGAATCAGCCTCCCGAGCATGCACGATCGGTGCAATGGTTAAATGCTCTCAAGGGCGGCTCTCGAGCGTTTTGTGCCGGCACGAAACTTCCCCGCCGGCAAAGTGCGGGAGTGGGCCGCCACGATCGGGAAGTTCACTGCTCATTCGGCCAGAGTCACAATGCTTGACGCGGCCGTCCATGCGGGTCGATCGACGGAAGAAATTGGCCTCCAGGCCAATTGGAAGAACCCTGGGCCCCTGGTTTTGAAGTATACTCGTAATCGCTCGTCGGTCCCCGCTAACATGGTGCAGGAACTCGTTCGGGAAATGCTGGCTCTTGAGCACCCCCACCAAGAGTCCGAGGAGGTCTTTCTAGACACCCCGGAGGCTCTCTCGATGGGTTGCCCCGAGTTTTTCCTCAAACAACCGGCTCCTGGTTCCTATTACGACTATAGGTATCATTGTTCCCATGAAACCGACCAGGAGCGTACGGCCTGCAATAAGTTTTTGCTGGAAGAATGTTGCTCAATGGGCACCGTTCTGCCAGACCTCAGCGTTTTCTGTAAGGCTTGCTCAAGAG